TAACTATCCTGGGACTATCCTCCATAAATTGGGTTTGGTTCACGCAAAGCTTTTTCAGGCCCCAAAACAGTTCCCAAGATACTAAAAGAAAAATCCAACGTGGGTGTGACATGGAATGTTTTTTTCAGGCCAGCCGAAAACAGTTTCTTACTATTATTGCGATCCACGTCTGGCCAAGATTTGCCACAATTATGTTTGCATATTTTGGCTGATTTGAGGCCAAGATATGGTCAAAATTGGAAACGTGTTGGGGGCTCGTTTTTGCTTATTGGCAGCCCTGGCGCTGCTGATAGGCGCACACTATGCTGACCCTTGGTGGATGTTTTTTTTTTTGATTCATGTGGGTTCAACATTGTCCCATTCATCAGCTCAGCAAACGTCCAAACTATAACTCTTTTGGCGAGGAAATTCAGTGAAATCCATGCATGCATTGATTTGGGGATGTCTCAGAATGAGGTAGAACAGCCATCGACATCACGCTTCATTCATTATCCCTACATGTCTTGGCTGCAACGCCTGGTGAAGACCTTCTTCAAACGGTTGTTGGGCCCCCAGATGAATGACCAATTGCGATGAAATAATACATATATAATATGTGATATAATATACATATATATATATGTGTGTGTGCTCCATGACTCCATGCATGGAACACTTAGCAGCATGTACCCAAATAACTTTTTAGATGCAGGTCAATGTTCCACACACGGAGTGCTAAACACACTGCGACCAAGTCCTATGGCCAATTACTACCACTTCTCGCTGAAGCCTTCATATTTGTGCGGCTCTCCGACATGGCCTTACTTCCATGCAAAACGTTTTGCTTTGTCTTTCTCCATTCGTACGAACGGTTTGTTCTTGGATGGAGGTTCCAGCATGATTGTTTTGGACCTTGGCTTTTTTTTGCTAGATACCAGTAGTCTTTTACAATGATTCCAAAAAATGTGTTCAAATTTGTGCTAAGGAGCTGGGTGTTGAATGTAGCGGACAAGCTTGAGCCATTCCATAAGGAAAGGCTCCAGGAATCTGCTGACAAGTCTCGTATGGTAAAGCATACCATCAACAAAGATGGAAAACGATGCACGTGGGGTTCTTACTGCTTCGGAAGATGTCAGTACTGCCCACATGATGGGACCTGAGCATTTCATATGCAATCTATATTATGTTAAAAAAGACAAACCTAGCAGTCTTGAATGAATACCGGGTAAATGTAATCCATGGAATGTTTTGGGCTTTCGGTCTTCAAGGGGCACCAGCACCTGGGCCCCCTGCTGCAGCTTCCAAGGTCAGGGGGAGCAATGCTTCGACAGAGCGGAGCATATCCTCGCGCTTTTGGCGAGTTCGTGGCATCTCAGTTTCAGGATGCTTTGCTTGGTATTAAGGTAAATCGGCTGTTTGTTGTAGTCTGAATCCTACAAACAAAGCACCGTAAACAATATGAATTGCTGAAGAGGTTTTAAGTTATTGTTTGAAACAATCAATCTTCTTGGACGAAGTAGCTGTTATTCCCAAAACAACAGAATATTATGAAGATTAACAAAATCCAATGGGATATGAAGGGGGGTCATACGGGCTGACGATAACAATTTTCCTACTGGCTCGCCACCTCCCCTCCAACAAATCCCCCCAGCAAAGGAGTTTTTACTGTCGTAGGGAGTGACAAAATAAGGAAAATATCAAGCTGACGAATGATTATGTATATTTATAGTTTTAGATAATTCAAGACCTGACAGCCAAGATGCACATGTTTGTACCAGGTGCCTAATTGTAAAAAAACAAACAGGCAAACAAACATACATACATACATTCATTCATACATACATACATACATCAGCACAATACATTACAATACAAAACATCAGAATACAATACAATGCAATACAATACATATCATACATCTCATACATAGAGACAGACGTACATACACACACTACACTACACTACATTGCATTGCATTGCATTACTTTACACTACATTACACTACATTACATTACATTGCATTACATTACATACATTCATACATACATACATACATACATACGTACATACAGACACACAAACAAAAACAAACAAACAAACAAACAAACCAATCATGCATACATACATTACATTACATTACATTGCATTATATTACATTACATTACATTACATTATATTACCTACATACATACATACATACATACACACATACACACACATACATACATACATACATTACATTGCATTACACTACATTACATTACATTGTATTACATTACATTGCATTACATGTCATTACATTACATACATACATGCACACACACACATATATATTGAACATATTTACAGCCATATTCACAATCCATACATCCACACATGCATACATAGACGCATAGATACATAGATACATAGATACATACACACATGCATGCATGCATGCATGCATGCATACATGCATGCATACATGCATACATGCATACATGCATACATGCATACATGCATACATGCACACATGCTTGCACCCAGATCCTACGCTGAGGCTGGCCAGTCTCCTCCAGAGCTGAAGGTTGAGTTGCCAGATGACCTGGCATCTATCCAGGTTGAACCGGCCCCTTTCGATTGGGCACATGCTGACTTGGAACCCATAAGGGAATACCTTCAGCAAGCCCAGGCTGCTGGCAAGTTTTTGCCACAAACTGGCCTGCCCCTTTAAAGGCCAGAACTTGGCGGAGAGAACGGGGTACTTACTTGGAATGTTGTCAACATATCTATATATTTATATATATATATGAAACAGTTTATGTATATATAAATATACCACAGCTGCAACATATGAATGAAGGCCAAGGCCCCTTTGAAGGAAACCAAAGTTGTCCCTTTACATTTCTGTACCTTCAATCTCGCCACCCCATTGCCAAAGCCCCCCAAAACATGATATATATATATATAAAATATCACCACAAGACAATGAAAGCCATATGAGAATACGGGTTTTTGCATATTTAACTGTTCGGATATGGGACTGTAGCATTTTGGGCAACACCAATGTAATGGTAATGGGTATACCCACCAATCCTCTCTGCAACTAGTGGCACTTTGGGGAAGGTCCATTCTGAAACTATTAATTTGCTATCCAATTCATCGCAAAACCTGCTGTTTTTTCACCGCAGGACCTGGGATAGATCAGGATGATGCTTAAAAAAACTGCCACGGGTGTGCGGACAGACCGTGACCGGACCGTGACCGGACCGTGACCGGTGATTTGTCGGAATCGGATCACTTTAGTATTGATTATAAAGGAAAACCGGAAAAATCGGGTGAAAAAGTCGGAAACACACCGTGACCGGACCGTGACCGGGGACCTTGAGAAAATCTACAATTTCTTGTCGCAGGCATTTTGAAAGGGGAATCTTTAGCTAGACATTCCCCAAGTTGTGACACGCTGCTGATTTTCAGCAATGGATGATGGTATGGAAGGCTCAAAGGACAGTGGCGTAACCATTCTTTTCCGCTATGAGTACTTTGTAAGGGCCGCATACATGTGATGTATGTGCTAGCTACGTAGCTGGGAGGTATATACTCTACTTCAACATTTTGCCACCGTGATACCATGTTGTTTTTTTACCTGAGTTCCCCTTGAAAGACCGTATTCCATTTGAATAGTTAACTTTTTGAATACATATAATTATATAATATATGGGTGTCCGCCTGCCACTTCCCAGGACGCAGCAATCCAAGCGGCTTTGCGGAAGGCAGCTGCCATACGTGCAAAGGTCGCAACAGAGCACAGCCTTGGGGAGGGGGCTGTGAAGCGTAAGAAGGAGAAGACATCCAAGGCCATTGGGGTATCTGGGAGTCCTTTGGGTTTATATTTATTAGTTGCCCCCTGTGCCCAACCCTCAATAGGTTTATTTTGTCCAAGGGTATTCAGCTTTTTGTAAGGTACTTAAACTTGTACGGGGTATATGGACAGAGAGAGAGAGAGATAGATAGATGGATGGATAGATAGATAGATAGATAGATATATACCTTTTATAAATATATGATTGGGATATTATTGCAGGATTATTGGCACACCTCGATGTATATAATTTAAACAGCTGTTCTTCTTAGAGATATAAAAAAAAATATAATCCTGGCTAATACAAAATCATCAAATTCAACAGGTGTCCATATTGAAAAGGGGTTCCAAAATGACATGAGTTTCAAAAACAATGGGGTGGTACAAAAGTAAATGGTTTGTGGCTTCAAATATGTTCTAGAAAAAGTGAGGGCACGAAAAAGGCTTGGAACCCCCATGTATTGTGGAACCGTGCTCAAGGGGAAACATACACACACATATATATATACACATATATATATATATACACACACATATATATATAATATAAATATTTAATTATATATATACACAGAAAATAATGGAAACATATAAATATCCCTTGCGAGATAAAACATATTTAGAAACAGCTCAGTATTTGGAACTGCCTGTGATGAGTTAGCTGGCAGGCGCCGCCATCCCAGCAAGTTACCCCAGAGCCGAAGATTGCCCGGAGTGCATCAGATGTTAGTGAATCAACATCAGCCACTAGTGTTGCTCCAAAGAGTCTTTCGCAGCAGTTTGACCAAGCTGCTACATCGGGTCCCACCACCAGCGGAGGCCGGAGGCCTTTTGTGTTTTCAAGTGTTCAACCTTTAACTTGAAAGGGTTTACCATTGTTCGCTATGCATTTAGTTACACAGGCATTACATTAATTATTTGGTGAACCCCTGTAATCAGGCCTGAAGAAGAGCGCATCTAAGTCAACAACGTGCCCTGATCTTCAAGATACGCTTCCTATGGAGGACAATTTTGATGTGTTCTATTGCTACCCTTTTGGGAATGTCTGAAAATAGGAGTGTTTCAAGCTTCAATTTTTCAATCGAAAAAACGGGCCTGGGGCACCCATAAGCATCCCTATCTGCAAACACCTTGTAGTTGATTATGTATGAATATTTCATCGGCCAATTTGAAACACCAGGAGCCCGAGCATGCAGTGCCGATGTTGGGAGATTCGAAGGCGTTACTTCCAGCCTTGGCCAGCCCGACCAGTGTGGGAAACCAAATGTTAAAACGATGTCATGTCATAGAAAATGCAGATATCAACCTATATTGGCAAACATGCAATGGTTGTGCTTAAAAAATGTCGTTTGCTGGTGCTGCTGCTGAGGTTGCTTGCTTCCAGTCCATGGACCCCTCCCAACTCGCATTCATCAAGCAGCTCATTCTAGATGCAGAAGCAAAGCACAACGAAGGCACGGGCACAGCAAGCACTGCCAAGCGCCCAGACCCACCCCTTGACACGAGCACCCCTTCAGCTCCACATGATGCCCGCCCCACAGCAGACAGCACCGAGATGGAGAGCAAACCTGATCCCACCACTGCAGAGAACAAAGCCCCCCCCGCTGTCCCAATTGCTACGCCTTGTCGTGCACCCCATCCACCTGCCCCTACCGGGACTTCAGAAGCTGCCGCCCCAAATGACAAGGAAGCATTGCCAGACGGCGAGAACAGTGGTCAACCCAGCGAAAAGTTGAAACAGTTTTGGTCAAAATTTGTGGTTAGCCCCCAGGCCGGGAATTCAACTTCCACACCGCAAGCAAAAGCTCCGAGAGCTGACGTGCCCACGCCTGCAACCACAGCTCTTGACAGCACCACCCCAGAAAGGACTGATGAGCCCACGCCTGCCGCCCCAGAAAGGACTGATGAGCCAATGCCACCTGCCCCAAGCCAAGCCCTGCCCGTCCCAGAGCCTCTTCCTGCAAGAGAACAAATTCGCACAAGGTTGATGAAGTTGGACAGCCAACAGTATGGAACTTTGATTGAAGAAGCAACCGCCCATCCACTTTGGTCCGAATATTTCCAAAGCGCAAAGCAAACCTCGGATGAGCTTGAAGACATGATCAACTGGATCATGTATCGTGATCAGCAGCAGCAAGAGCAACATGCCCTTCTCCACAAGCCCACGCTTATCCTTGGAGAACCTGACCCCGATGAAGCAATGGTGGCCCCAGATCCTGCGGCAAAGCCTACTGAGCCTGCGCCAACACAGCCGAACATTCACATGCCCACAGCAGTGCCAACAGCAACTCCTGACTGTGTTCAAGCCGCGCTTTTGAGAGCGACAACAGTTGACCTCAACACTCCGCTGCAGACCGCTGCACCTGTCACAGCCCCAGCCCCTGAAGAGAAACAACACAGTTCAGCACCAGCCGATGCCAAGCCCGAAGCAAAAGAGGAAACAAAGCAGACAGCACAGCAAGCGTTTTCAACACCAGGGGTAGCAGCAAAGCCGAGTGAACCTGCAGAGCCGACACCTGAAGAACTCCAGAAAAGAGCCGCAAAGTTGAAAGTCCGCGCCATTAGGGGAAAGTTCCATCGCTCAATTCGAAGCGCCTAGGCAAAATTATCAAAAACATATTCTTTTGCTCGCGCCCCACAAAAACTTTAAACTGAATGCGGCTGTGCGATTAAGAATCTAAGGCAAGTATGCACCGCCAGAAGTGGTGGCAAAGCACAAGGAAGCGGCAGTCAGTTCAGATCCTAGTTACTGTTTGTTGGAAAAAGCAGAAACGGTGCTTCGTATCAGTTGCGCACATCATCACTATATATATATATTCATTTATTGTTTCCACATAAGCCCTTGTATACATAGAAGGTTTGTGTTGTTTCATGCTTATTGCATTTATGTGGGTATAGACTAGAGTAGTTTTGCAATGTTCACAACGCATATGTTTGCAATAGCTGATCGCAATCCCCAATTAGGTCGTGACCAGAAAGCTTTCACACAGCTTTTCGAAGATTGGCTTCAGTCGGGCCAAGATTGGCTGAAGTCAAGCATTGTCATGAGTGCTCGCACCGAGAAAGAGAATGCTTTGAAAGGCCAGTGGAAGCTTATGTCCAAAGCAGTTGCTTGAAAGCGATTACACCATGACTCTGCCAATGCAGAAATAAATTTCTAAATCTAAAGAAACAATTTTGTTTGCCAATATCTCCCTATCGGGTGTTTCATCATTGCACATTAGGACTTGGATTTGAAATACTGCAACCCGGATCTGGTGGACGACCTGATTGAGCGCAAGGCGCCAGGATGGTTGTTACCTTCACTCTCATCGTCTAAATCCACATTGTAATGTTGGGCCCTGTTTGCAGGCGTAGCCAAATATCAAGGACAATTGTCTTGGTTTGTATGGAACACATATAGTGGCTCGTTTTGTATGGAACATATATCTTGTTTCATGTTCGGACAAAAAAACCTTATTCCAAGCTTTTGACCAAAAAAGGTTTCTTACCGGAAAACAAGGTAGGTGGGATTTGGCCTGGGGATATGTCCCCCTGGATGCACCCCTGGATATGGCATGGGCCTGCATGAATTCATCTTCCACAGCCCTGGCCAGATTGAAGAGAAGATGACGGCTGAGAACCCGGACTTCCCTGGGAAGAAGGCTCCATCCAATCTCGGCTGACCTCATCTTTTGCATGCTAGCTGTTCGGATTGAATCATCGGACCACAGTGAGATTAATTAGATATAATGCGTCATTGTACAACATGGACATGGAAGTGTCGTACCTTCCGGGTGCCCCAAAATCATCCAAAACTAGGCCATTTTAGTATTGCATTTGTGGGATCCCTTTCTTTAAGAAAGTCAAATGCTGACAGGTTATTGATCCAACCTTTATATACAGCATATATAAAATAAAACAGCATATATATATATACAGATACGGGCCTAGATCTAGATATAGATATAGATGTAGTATGTACATATTATGTACTTACACCTCATGAAAAGAGTGTATATATATATATACATATATAATGATTCGTTACCTCAAAATCCTAATGGCTTTATGTAAGAGCAAATCCCTGTTTTTCCCCGAAACCAGGAGAAGGACATGCTCCTTTATTGGTGTTGGGATTGCACAACATCAACCAATGTGGAACGCAACGCGTCGAGCTTCACATCGTCGTCTACGGGCGGTATCCGGAACGAAGATGCAATGGCTTTCAGAGGGGGCAACATGCCCATGCTTCCCGACCCTGAAAATCCCAAGGGGATTGGCAAGGGTGACCCAGAGGTGACGGATGCAAATGGCAAAGGGGCTGGCAAGGGCGGCAAGGGTGGCAAGGGCGGGGGCGGGGCGAAGCCGCCTCGCAAGCCGAAGGGGGGGAAGGGCGAGGATGGGTCTGTGAAGACCAAAACCCCAGAGCAAGAGTCGCGAGCAGCATCACGTCCCAATTAGCTGACTTGTAAATATACGCACATATATATATATATATATATGTCATGGGGTCGTTTCAACCAAGCACTTCGTTACATTCACTTGTCAACACACCTGTGTGTAAGGCCATGAAGACTGCAGCTGACCTCATCCTTGAATGCAAGTCGTGGGATTCAAAGTTGAAGTCCAGTGAGACGTCAGAATCTTAAATTTCAACTTTACTCACACCCCTTTTGTATATATATATATAATATATTGATGATGTTTATCCTCGCTCGAGGCCTCAAGATCTCATCTCGGCCCTGGTGCGGGACATGAAGACCCACTTGCAAGGGTTGGAAGAAGCTCGCGGCAATGTTGAAGCTTGGGGTCTCAAATTTCCCACTTGAGAATTCTTCGCATTTTTATCCCTTTGCTGATGAAAATACACAACACAAAGAGCCAATAAAGCCCACTGTTTGTGGTCCAGTTGTGGGAACTCTGTTGAATTTCTAAGGCCGCAATTGCTGCCGGAAAGGAGGGTGACAGCTTGCTGCAGCTCAACCAAAAACTTGCTGAGAAGGTTGCAGACTACAAGAAAGCAGCGGGCCACTGTAAGAAACATGCCCCGAAAGCAAAGCCAAAGGCTTCTGCTAAGTCTGCGGCAGCGCCGCAGCCGTAGATTTTGGCACTTCCATGGCCCGGTTTGCCCTTAGGGCTCTTGGAGGGTTTCAAAGTAGTAACATGCAACTTTACTTTACATCAACCACATACTTCCAGCCATGCCAACAAAACATTTCAGGTTGGCATTTCAATTGCATCTTTCGACACCTCCATGAGTGGGGCATGATGCGCCATGCAATCCTATGCCCTTGATGTATCATGAGGGGTTTGCAGTGCTGATCATTGCAAGATCTGAGCGACAGGGCGAAAAATGTTCATAAGGATTTTCCTAATCTTTTGATGTGACCAAACACTTGTCGCCCGTGACTATTCTTAGGACCAACTTAATCCTTTGGCCCCGTCGCAGGTGATGGATCCTGTGAGCCAGCCTTTGCTGCGCACTTACTCGGGTCCCTAGGAAGGGGCGCGAGTTCGTGCCGCGAACTTCAAGAAGCGGCCGCGGCCGTTGTGGTGGAGAGCGGCGGGGCGTGCAGTCACTAGTCCACCCAAACTATCAGCATTGTGCTTCTTCCCAGTATACCCCATTTGCTCTATATGCATAGGTTCACATTTACATCAAAACTTGTCCATATAGGTCATCTTTTACTAATAAATTTTAAATTGAAACATATGGGTGCATATGGATGCAAATGGGGTGTACTTATGTATTGGTACAGATCGAAACCACTTCAGGGGTCGAGTTCACATCATCCCAGGTAAAGGGCACACAGAATGATCAATGAATGTCAATCGATGGTTGTACGCATGGGCTACCTCTTTTTTTGGGATTAGAACTTGGATGATTATGATTATTTGTGGGCTCCCAATATTAATTATAAGCATCCCCAAGCACTGTAAGGTTGACCAAGAAGTAGGATAAGTAGGGGGCACCATTCTTTCAAACAGTTTTGGGTTTTACGTACTTCCCACCAGAAGCTTCAAAGGTGAGCTCACCAAAAAAATTGCCCGGGCTGGTGGATGTGGCAAACACCCCCAAAACATTGAAAGAGATCTCATGAGATCGCTGGAACTTCCCCTTGATACTTGGGAAGAACTACTAGCAGGTTTTGTGTTTATTCCCCTTTTTGGTTGGAATTAGGATTGAACAGCCTTTTTGTTTCTGCTATGATGGTAGCAAACACGTTGAGGACATGCATTGGGTAGAGGTGCCGGTGAAAGATTTAAAGAAACCGAAGCATCGCACCACAATGCGGATTCCCATTGTTCTGGCCCACGAGATGTTGCACTACCTTGCTGATGCTTTCTTGCATCAATATTGATATATAGGTATATATATTTATAGTATAATACATATATCTTTGTCATTTGTACCTACCTACCAACCTACCTACCTACCTATCTATATAATTTATCTACCTATCTACCTATCTAATCTATCTATCTATCTAGCTAGCTAGCTAGCTATCTATCTAGCTACCTATCTATCTATCTATCGATCTATCTATCTTTCTATCTACCTATCTATCTGTCTATCTGTCTATCTGTCTATCTGTCTATCTGTCTATCTATCTATCTGTCTATCTATCTATCTATCTATCTATCTATCCATCTATCTATCTATCTATCTATCTATCTATCTATCTAATCCTATCTATCTATCTATCTATCTGTATTTTTGCTTATCTGCTCATTTATTCACCATAGCGGGATGTTCCCCAGTGTTTTTTCTCTGTCAAATGAGGTTTTCTTGGAATGAACCACCAGCTACCAGGAAACTCACAAAGTTGTCATCTCGAAGACTGACATAGAGGAGTACTGGGCACACTGGAAGCAGCATTGTCCCTACCATGAGGCAGCTGATCTTGCTCAGCACAACCCTGTAGGGCTGTTTGGAGATGATGCTAGATGGTCACTAGCGGGTGCAAAAATCATTTGCTTTCTTCTCAATCAAATCTTGGATCGTAGAACCCGACACTGGGATTAATTGGATTGGCAACATTTTTTCTTAAGGTTAAATGTGTGAGAAATGCATAGCTATAAGTTATATGATAAACATTCGGCAATGTCAGTTCCTAAATGCCTACAAGTAAAGGGTTAAAGTAAAGACCAAACCCTTTCTTTGTACATGCCTGCTCAGGACTTCCTAGCTCTCGATTCGTGCTCTTTGTTATCCGTTTTGAACTGAGCCTTGGTCCAGAAACGTTGGACCCATTGTTTCGTGCCCAGGCTTGGTCTCTGAATGTTTCTCATCCACAGTTATGATTGGTTTTTTATTTGTTGTAGGTTGGTATCAGTACGAGCCGCGATATTTGGTGTAATTTTGGTACCAGTTTGAGCCGTGATATGTTTTTTACACGAATCAGGGGTCCTCAGCGAGGTTGCATACCATGGTGTGTTTCCAAGTGTCGATTGGGATGGCCTCAAACTTTGTGGTCGTTTTGCGACATATGCTGGGCGCAGAATCTCTGGGGGGCCCCATTGCCTCGTAGAGTGCAGGGGGGACTGGAAATGGCATTGGGAAATGTGGGAGCTAAGAAGTTATTGGAAAAGGGCTGCTGGTATGTGCCATCGCTGCCGAGCTACAACAAATGGACGCTATCAGTGCCTCAATTCAATTTGAAACTTTCTCTTTGGGTGGCAAAAAAAAAGTGAAAACCATTTTATGTTTTGTTTTTTGTGCCATTGATACTATGAGGTACTCACACTTCTCCAATTTCCTGAACATTCCTCGCCTGAGCCTTCCTGAGTTCTACACTGTCGCCTTGAGCCTCGCCTAGTACACAACAAGTTTGTGTTCATTTGTTGTTCCGAACCCTTAGGCTTACACCTATATTGTTGTATATTACAGCATGGTATCATCAAGAAAAGAAATAGAACATATATTTGTATTGTTGACCATGACCCTGTTGCAGGAAGAACTATGTCAATCCAATCGCTTTGGTATACGGCTTCTTGCCCTCGATGCTTAAGTTTTGTCTTATGCACGTGCTACACCTTGGCCTGTTGCATTTCCTGAACGGTGCTAGTGTAGTGTTACTTCATCAGCATGGATGGTTTGGACCGCCGGCCATGGAAGTCAAAGACATGCTGGAGATCTTGACACTCAGATTCCGAAGCTGGTGCTCCGTGCAGGGCATCAGGCTTTGGGATAATTTTATGGTTTCACGGTCCCTTAAACACACATGCAATACATTTAAATACATAATACTACAGGAGTGTACATATGTGTATATATATATATAAATATTACATATATCCTGAATCTTTTGTACGTATATCCTGAATCTTTTGGCTATCCCTGTATAGGCATTCCCAGCCACACATCACAAGCGGCTTACTACATCGGAAAGCTGGTGAGTTTTGCGAATTGAGACTCAAAGCGTGGAACAGCCGAATCATGACGGCATTTTTGACTACTTGTTTGAATGCCCTGGTGGCTTCTTTGCCAATTGCCAACCGATCACCTCAGCTGGTATTGACTACTGGGACCATGAACGCAATATCAACATGGATGCTCAAACTTGAGGGGTGTAGCAGGTACCTTTCCGCTGATGAGGCGGAGTGGCTGTGGGTTGAAGGCAACCGGTTTCTTATCTGATATGAGTTTCACTTTCCTGCCTATAATCCACAACAATATATTTAAATATATAATTGGCCAGTTGTTTTTTTCAGGGTTAATGTTTGGGTTCCGGCAAGGTTTTTGGATTTGTACCGATGTGCAGCGCACGCTTTCATTGAGCAAAACGAACTGTTCCTACCGCTGCGTCCAAAAACGCATGATCTTATGTTGTGGTTTAGCTCATTTTTTACTTTTTATTTCCCAGAAGATGGGCATATTTGAAAACCAGAAAAGACCGACACTTTTGCTGTGCCATCTTGCCAAACTGTGAGGCATTCCAAGAACAATGTTTGGAGATGCGAATCACGCGAATCAATGCACGCACGCTCCATGCATACTTAGATGAAGATGCTATGGGGAGCGTCAAGTCCATTTGTAGGAAAACACACAGAAGTTTAATGGAAGTCAGAGTTATGGGCAGAATTTTGCTCGGGTTGAAGGTTGCTGGCCGATCCGCGCGTACCGCGTAGAAGAAAAAAGTGCTTTGGATCAGGATGAGTGCTGCTTAAGTTATCGGACCCAAAAATCGGATTTGGATGTGGCTCTGTGGTGCCTACGTTGGCAAAATCGGAAGGCATGTAGGCATTTGGAACTCACATTGCCGAATGTTGATCATATTTACCTACGTTAGAGCTATAGGGATAGAGAGGGAGAGGGAGAGAGAGGGAGAGAGAGAGAGAGAGAGAAGAGAGGGAGAGAGAGGGAGAGGGAGAGAGAAGAAGAGAGAGAGAGAAGAGAAGAGAGAGAGAGAGAAGAGAAGAGAGAGAGAGAGAAGAGAAGAGAGAGAGAGAGAGAAGAGAGAGAAGAGAGAGAAGAGAGAGAAGAGAGAGAAGAGAGAGGAGAGAGAGAAGAGAGAGAAGAGAGAGAAGAGAGAGAAGAGAGAGAAGAGAGAGAAGAGAGAGAAGAGCGAGAAGAGAGAGAAGAGAGAGAAGAGAGAGAAGAGAGAGAAGAGAGAGAAGAGAGAGAAGAGAGAGAAGAGAGAGAAGAGAGAGAAGAGAGAGAAGAGAGAGAAGAGAGAGAAGAGAGAGAAGAGAGAGACGAGAGAGAAGAGAGAGAGAGAGAGAGAAGAGAGAGAAGAGAGAGAAGAGAGAGAAGAGAGAGAAGAGAGAGAAGAGAGAGAAGAGAGAGAAGAGAGAGATAGAGAGAAGAGAGAGAAGAGAGAGAAGAGAGAGAAGAGAGAGAGAGAGA